TTTTTTGGGGGTTTTGTTTGTTTTTTTTTTTGTCCCAGTTCTCCTCCCCATCCCACTGAGGGGGGGAGCTGTGAGCAAGCAGCTGTATGGTACTTTAGTTCCCAGCTGGGGTTAAATCACAACACTGATTTACTCATTTATGTTGAAATGTTTTGGAGTGTCACAATCCAAATATGGTACTTGCCAGCCTTTACAAATGGAATCACTACTGTTGAAATGACATGGATTTAAAATTAATGATATTTTGATTCTTCTTGTAGTGCTACTTGAGAGATTGTAAAGGTTGATTGTAAATCTCTTGATTTGTCACCATTTCAGTACTTGTTCACTGCTCTCCACTGCTGTGAAGTGCTCTTATCAGGTGATCAGAAGCTTGAAACCACTTCTGTAAGCCTCTTCTATTTAACTCGGATTCAGGATTTGATATTGCAAACTCTATTTGGCTAGTGGCCTTACAGCAGTTGAGGCAGACATTTGAAATGTTTCTCGTTTTACTTATCAATTGGAATTTAGGGTAATACTTTGTTTCTTCTAGGAAGTGACTTATTTTAGACTAAAACAGAATTTTGTCTAGGTGAGCTGGGCATTAAAACCAGACCTGCTGCTCTAGTTTCAGTGGGATTATTACCTTTTTTTAAATTGAGCCACATGATAGGCTTCTGAGCTACATAATGTTGCTCACAGTTACAATGTTGGCTTTTAAGGGCAAAGTAGGGTTTTATTGTTGTAGTCTTTTTCTGTGAACTGTTTTCTTGTGGTTTTGGAGAAGCTTTGTAAATATAACTAAGTAATATAGAAATGTGATAGATGAGTTTCTAGGGTAAGAAACAGACTATCCTGGATTCTTTTGTGATAAAAACGAGTTTACTGCAAATTCGTCAAAGAATTTTGAGAGTGTGAGTGTCATACTTACTTTATATAGGCAAGTATGTAATTTTTATCATCCTCCACATGTCCAAGACGATACTTCCTCAAACTTCAACTGGGTTTCTTCTTAGCCTGTACTTTTTCATAATTTGTTTCATGTTACTGTCCTCTCTTGTTTGACATAAATACTGACTTGAGAGTTGAAATTCTTCTTAGGTGAATTTAGAGATTTTACATCACTTTAGTACTGGAACTTTTTTTTTTTTTTAAGAGAAATGTTTTGAATCAGGATGGTTAGCTTAAGCTTTTGATTTTGTTTTTTTCTTGCTAGTCATGACAGAACAATGCAGGATATTGTTTACAAACTTGTGCCGGGCCTCCAAGAAGGTGAGCTGTGGTATGACCCTTTTTAGAGGTCATTTTGTGCATGCTTCTTTAACACTTAAAAAAAGTTTAAGGTGATGAAAATGGTGGGGGGAACACTCATGCAAAAATCTATTCCTTAATCTGTGTAATTTCTGGTGATTAATTTCATACCTGTGCTAGCAGCAATTAGGGGTGGTGGGATGAAAGACAGGGTATTTCTTCAAAAAGTAGTATTATATAAAGCAGAATAATAGTTCAGCTTTTGAACATTGTCACGCCATAGCTCTTATTTGTTCTTGTTAAACTGTGTACTTAAACCTGTTGTGCCAACTTTCTAGGATTCTCAGAGGTAGAATGTAATGCAGAACAGCTTTTAGTTTCAGTTTCTGCTACCATGTGAATCCTTTTTTTAGCAGGTAATTTTCAATTTATGTTTTCATAATCCTCTTTGAGGCTGGATCTGTTCAACTAAATAAGTCCTTTTAGTATCTGCTCAGTGATTTTTTGCCTTAGTATATGTTACCACTTCCATTTAAATACTGTATTTTAAGTCACTTAAGCTGCAAAAACCAAAACATTGAATAGAACATTGAAAAAATTGTTTCTCACATATGAAAATTAGAACTATAAATAAAAATTAAGAAGGGTTTGACTGTGGGAGGGGTTCAAAATAAGGTATAGTATTTTAAATACTCTCACTGTAATAGGAACGCTATAATAGTAGCTGTACAGATGACTTTGTAGTAGTCTAACTCCAAAATATAAGATAGGGCGTGACATAAGAAATAGCAGAGATCAAAAAATACTAAATCCTGACAATACCACTACTTGTTGGGAAGCCTGTTTCACTTAAGAGGGAAGGGATTTGGAAAAACTTCATAAATGTTGCATCAGAACTTTATTACAGGGATTAATATTTACAATTTTAAACAGCGGAAATGAAAAAGCAAAGGGAGTTTTATCACAAACTGGGCATGGAAGTTCCAGGGGACGTCAAAGGGGAGACATGTTCTACAAAACAGCACCTAGATGCCCACCGAAATGGTAAATGGTCCTTAATTTATTCTGTTTTGGGTGGATGACAGCTAGTAAATTGATGAACAGTTGGAGGTAATATGCCTAGTTGATTTATTACAATTACGGTTGGTGTATAACACTGAAGAGTGCAGTGAGAGGAGGATAGTTGCTTTGTCCCTTATTTCTGTACAGAATCTTTCTTTTCACCTGGTCATAGCAGATGAGTGGAGTAAGGAGATTTGCGTAATAGTGCCTACATGGGGACTTCATGAAAGTGCCCAGCTTCTGGACTGCTAACGGTTGAACTGAAGGCTGTGCTTTGAGTAGATGTATTTCAGTCTTTTTCGCATGGGGTTGTTGGCATCTAGTGTTGCCTAAGCAGATAAGCACAATTTGGGAAAAGCAAAGCTTATTCTGTATTGCAGTCCTGAACTGTGCTGTTTTAAATCATATCAGCATTATAAGCTGCTGCTGAGTGTTATCCCATATATCTGTTTTCTTACATAAGGTGAAACAAAAACAGATGAAAACTCAAACAAAGAAACTTCAGAGGAAAAACAGGAAGAAGATAATGACTACCACCGAAGTGATGAACAGGTGAGCTCATAAGGGCATGTTTTCATTTTATCTTTTAGTTTAGCTTTAGTGCTTTGGTAGACAAACAAAGAAGAAAAAAAACTGTTTCAAGCTACTTCTTTTGTCATCTGATGCAAACGAGATACAGTATTGCCCAATGCTTTTGTGTAAGCATGAGTTTCATCTCTGTGTTTTGTCAGGAGTGGAGAATATGTTAAAGATATTTGCATTAGGATTTGATAGTTCTGACTGCTTGTTCACGAGTTTCCAAAGTATTTATTTACTTTCAAAACAAATTCAGGTTATTTGGCTCCCCTTCTGGAGTATATCCCAGTGTGACTGTAATGCATTCAGCTGAATATGTATTAATAATTATGAATAAAACCTTTTGCACTTCACTAACTTGAGATTTATTTTGTTTTAAACCTCTAATACAAGGACGGTGTTATACCTGTAACATAAAAATAGTATGAAAGCTGGGAAGTTCAGCATAGAGTTGTAAATACAAAGCACGTTTGAAAGTTAAATCTCCTTTTGGAATAAACAAGCATTCCCTTTTAGTTTTTCCCGTTAACATGTGCCCAAGGCAAATTAGACTTGGATGTTTTCTTTAAATTACAGCGTAAGGGAACTTTGAAAGGGATTATACCTAGTACTAAATCATCTCAGTGCATGAAGTAAATCATCACAAAGAGTTTAAACTAAGTAGTGAATATCTGAATGAGAAAAGAGGTGAGAATTGAAGCTTAGAAATCAGAGACACCTTTTGGAGGGATAATGTTTAGAATTTGAAAATTTCTTGCATCGTTTGTATCCATTCCTTTTAAACTTTAAGTTCTCTTTTAAACGTCTGTTAAAATTCTTTTTTTAAACTGGATTTAGCAATTGCATTAAAAGCAAGGAGTTACATTAAAAGCAATCATTAAAAAGAGGCAGTGATATTCTTACTGTTTATCTTGCTCTAGTTTTTGATATAGCTATTGGCAGCCAATGAATTTGTACTGGAGCAGTCTTGTTCCAACATGAAAAATTCTTTCTTGAACTTTTTTGTCTAGATCTGTTTTGATTGCAGTTTGATTTTTTTATCACTAAACTGACCAGATGTTAGAAAATGTTGTGGGTTTTTTTTTTAATAGGCATTTCAGTTTAAGAAATACTAGTACTGTACTTTTTTACTTTGTTGTATTAATGAAAACTGCATATGGAATACATAGGAAGGACTGCAGAAAATTGTTCCAGCCAACCCTGACTGTTTGCTTTTTCCTGAAGGTAAGCATCTGCTTGGAATGCAATAGCAGCAAATTGCGTGGACTGAAACGAAAATGGATTCGTTGCTCAGCACAAGCAACAGTCTTGCATCTAAAGAAGTTCATTGCCAAAAAACTAAACCTTTCTTCTTTCAACGAGGTAATATTTTCTTTTTTTTAAATTATTTTCCAGATATAAAAACTTTGTGAAAAGTGTGGAATTGTTCTTTTAGTCTGATTCTATTTTCAGAAAACAGAAGCATACACCATTTCTTTAATTGTATGTTATGTATCCATTTTCCTGTCCTTTCTTGAAGCTATACAGGACTTGCCACTTAGTTTGCTGTGCACCTTTTCATGTCTATGTATAAATAGTTGAGTTAAAAGGCTTGGCTCTGTGTTTCCATGTGTGTTGAAATGGACTCTGGCAAGGTGCTTTGTTTGACAGCTTGCGGTTGGGTATACCCCAGCCCTTCAGAGATGCCACATACAGTGCAGGGGACAGGCAGTAGCAAACGCTTGCACTTTTGGAGCTCAGATTAAGAGGAAGTACCACAGATATTTGTTCATGCTTTCCGTGAAGCTCAGCCTGAAGTTTCTGCCTACCACGACTAGAGTGTTATCAGATACCTACTTTTCCCTTCCTCTGCAGGGAATACTTGGAATCATGGGAAGAATTTATGGTGAAAGGTACAGAAAGAAAGGCAATTCTTTGCACTTCTAGTTCAGATTCCAAATTACCAGCGGTGAAACATATGAATGCAGCCTCTGTTTACCACTTTGCTGGGTCTTGGTCACAGTCTTTAGACATCTCAAGTGACTCTGAGCTTGACATCTCCCAACCCCACATTATGTCACTGAACCACTGAATTTCAGTAAGACTTTTCATTCAAATTGTTTGCTTTGAAGTCCAGTGTGTCAACACCTTTCTGCTTGAGCTTTTCCAACAGTCAGTTTGCATCTGTATCACTCTTCCTTGTAGCTTCTGTGCGCTTCAAACCAACACTGTCTTAAGGTTGGAGTGTGTCCCTAGGCTCTGCTAGGCTTCTTGAAAAAACTGTATTTCCTGTCTTGTCCTCAGCTGGCTTGAAAGTGGTTGACTGCTGACTGTAGCTCAGCAGCAGCATAACTACCATCACTGTTCAAAAGGGAATATTTGTGTGCATGTTTAGGCTCTCCATTCCACTGTGTTAGTCTGTGATATAACAACCTGCCTGGCTTTTATTAAAGGGAAAAGTTTTCAGAACTACTGTTTATTCCTTTGCTGTCCCTCTCTACCTTCTGAAAGAGTACATAAATTGTGGTGTAATCAGTGTACAATTACCAAGTAACAGGTACATAGTAGAAGGATCTAAGCTTGCGGGCATATGGGCTATTGCAGGTTTGAGTTATTGCCAATTAGATGAGCCATGTATGTGGACTGCATGCCCAGTAAGGCCTTTTTGTGTTGTGTGGTAAAGCGGTGTTGATATAAGACACCTTGGTGGAGCTTACTGTTTTCATGCATGTTCCCTCTTTTAGTTCATGTTCAGCTCATTAGTAATCATATAATCCTCATGTTTTTATGTTCATATCCTCACTGCTTCTAATATCAAGAGCATTCAGCACTGAGATAGAAAAGTGAAAAAATAGCTATCAAGTACCTGCAAAGAACCCATAAATATAGTGTATGAGGAAGGTGGCAGACAGGTTTAGGGGTTTTTTAAATGCATCCTTGTAGCAGAAAGGCACCTGGCTGGTGTTAGGTAAAGAATTTTCATCGTATGTTAAATAACAGAGCCGTCTTTGAGAACTGCGAATTTTGTTTCCTTGATCATTTATGATGCCTTTTTAAAAGCATGTGAAGTTTTCAGGAAAGGGCATTAATGTTGCTTGGGAAGCTAAACCTGTTAAGACATTTAAGTCCAGTTGGTGCAGTATTTCCTAGGTAGGCACAGACATGGTCTTTTAGCAGTCTGTGATGAGAAAAGACATGCGCTTTTTCTCTTCTGGTACTATTTTTATCTACAGAGCAGCTGCAAGATGAATGCTTCCAGTGTCTTCAAAGAAAAAAAATCTTGACAAACATTTGTAGTATTATCTGAAATATGTTGCTCCGTGTATATGTCCCAGTGAATTAACTGTTGCCTTTGTTTTGTCAGCTGGACATATTATGCAATGAAGAGATTCTTGGCAAGGACCACACACTCAAGTTTGTAGTTGTTACTAGATGGAGATTTAAGGTATGACACAGTGGTTCCTCGTAAATCATGAAGTCGCCAAATGTTTCTAAAACAAGCATCATTTGGAACTATTCTGCAGTAGCTGCAGATTCTATCAAAATATTCTTTAATAAGTATCTAGTACAGCATCCCTAAACGCCAAGTGTTAATTTTTGTTTCCAAGAAAATGAAGCAAAGAGGAATTGCAAGGGAAAAGGGAACACTGTCTCATCTGCTAAAATTGTTACAAAGTCTGGTAAAGGAAGTGGAAGCCACAAGAAAGTATTATTTTTATCTATTTTAGGTAAAACTGGTTTTAATCCGTGTAAAGTGGAAATCAATTGTGATACAGAAAAGGCAGAAAATTTCAGCACAGTTCTCCTGTACGTCTAGAAGTCTCCTTTACTTCTAAAGCAGAGGTGGTAACTGCAGTGCTTGTCTGTCTTAGTTAAGGAAACTTCTAGTAGCATTTAGTAGGCATAAACAAGGCCGCTTAAAAATGTTTGAGTACATCTTTGAATTGCTTATTGTGGTTTCTTTAAACAATTTCTTTTAGGCTGAATAGTAAACAGTGGGGCGTTCATTCTGAGTATAAGCTATCACATTAATAATTACAGCTCAAGTAAAGTGAGGGTAAGAATGAATTGCAAAATTGAACACTTAGGAGGCAAGTCACACCTCTAGAGTCAGTATCTGTGTATCTGGGGATGTTTGAACTAAGAGGTAGTATTCATAAAGGACAAGCAATGCTGTCAAAGTTTACAGTTTTCACTGAGGTAAAACCACTTGATGGCTTTTGATGCGTATCTAGAAGAGATGCCGATAGGAGTAGAGAGTTGTTTTTCTGTCTTGGAACAGACGAATCAAACTGTGCATCTCTGCAAGTCTACTATTTGCCTTGATCATGGAAATCTGTGCAACTGTGGTGTGTCAGTTGCCTTCTCAAGTGAAAGTGGCGGGGGATGTAAATTGTAGCTGGAGGGTGGGAAGTCCAGAACAGACAAGAGGAAGCAGTTCTTTACATGAGACCCAGCGTTCCTTCATGCAGGATGCTGTGGTTGTTAGAAGTTTTACCTATTCATGAAAAAGTAATGAATACACTTGGAGAAGAGGAATCATGTGAGAGCTGTGTGATGTGAAGTATCACATGCTCTTATGCTGCTTTCTAGACATCTGCATTTCTCCCTTAATGGGAGTGGGTTTTGTGAGTTAAACAGATAAGTTCCTGAGACAAAAAAGGGAAAGGATTCTTCCTCTCTTGTTTGAGCTTCACTGATGAGATTGCGTCTCGTCTTTGAAATTTTGACAGGGCTGATAGCTCCTCCGATTCATTTAAGCTTTACTTTATGAAACAGAAGTATTACCTACTGAACAGGTTATTTCTGGTTTTGTTTCTGAACTTACCTGATCTTTCTGTCTTGCAGAAAGCACCTCTACTGCTACACTACAGACCCAAAATGGACTTGCTGTAAGAGAACTTATATTGTCCTTCTGGACAGAGTTTTTTGCAGAGACTATCATCTGGCACCTTCTTAGTGCATCACTAATCACATGACACAAACCAGCTGAATAATTTTAGAAGACTGTAGGGCTTTCATAGCGGACTGTCCTTCTGAATATTTCTTCTAGGGATATACTACCAAGAGTTCTGGACAGAAAATATTTATACTTTTTTTTGTACAGAAGAAGTAAGTCACAACTCAACAAGACACTACCAGCACTAAGTTTACAGATACTGAAAACACTTCACAGTTCTATGTAGCTCAGCCTGATTTATCTCTTACAGTTACACAGAAATAAGTTAGAATGTTGTGGAGTGATTTAAAAATGTTGCTTTTGACACCAAGTTGCATTTAGTTACTTTTCACATTCTGAATCTTTAAAAACTATATTTTTGCAAAGTGTTATTGTCTTATATAGTATGCCTGATTGCATTTGCTTTATTCAAGTTATTCTGTAGACCATTGAAAATACCTAATGATATGGTGATAATTTATTATGCTGCATTGAAAACTTCTAAAAATCTGGGAAACCAATAAGTTTGTCATTTTTCCCAGTTACTGCTCTCCCTTGCTTTGTGTTTTAGTAAAGTTTTGATACTCCCTAATGCATGTTGATTTGGCAAGACTAATAGAAATTATTTCAGTTGATTTTAATGTGCCCTGATACTTTGCTGTGGCATAAGTTGCACCACATAATGACAAATACTCAAAAGTGCTAGATTTGTGAACTTCAAAAAACCAACCCAGAATATTTCTTACATAGTTGTGGCTTGCAGAAATCAGTTTTTAATTTAGAGAGAATTTGCTCTCACTAGCGATTGAAACACTGGCTCTTGGGCTACTTTGGGTGATATTGCAGTTTTCATTTCATTTATTAAGAATTCCTCAGATCATTATGAGCAGGTTTGTATTTCCTTTACCTGTTTTCTTATGAAACCGTAATATTTTCTTTAGCCCAATTCCTAACTGTTGAGGACTGGTCAGATGAGATTATGTTAGCACCTTCTGGCCTTAACTGGTAATTTTGTTTGCATCAGCACTAATGGATGCCAAGGTAATACACATGCATGCATGTACGCGTACATCTATACACACATTTAACTATATATGTTATAGAATGCACCCTCGATAGCATTTAGCAGGGTTCACTGCACTTTTTGCAAGGCTTTTTGAGATAGTTGGCTTTTCAGAAAAAGTGGCTGAAAGTGATTTCTGCAAGCTGCATACAGTATGATACAGCGTATATAGTAGGATAGAGTGTTTGTCTGGCATAGGCATCAAGTCACTGAAAACAGGCTCTGCCATGTTATTGACAGCTGGAAATCATTAACCTTGTAATTTTTGGAAGAGTTTTCCAGTGAGCTGAAAATACTAGTTGCTATTCCTCTTATTAAAGCCTGTATTTTTTTATTATTTTCTTTTTTTTTATAAATTGTCTTTGGATAAGAAAACACGTTTGTCTGTAACTGTCCTGCTTCCTCTAGCTGTGCTCTTTCCCCTTGTCTGCTAGAAAGTGTTACTTGCTACTTGATAGCAGGAAGTTGGTACTGCAAAATGTTTATCCAAGCATTTTAAATTGTCTTTCTCTTCTTGAGTTTTTAAAGCACCACATTCCTCAGCATGTGTCCCAAAGACTCTATCTGTCTTTGAAGTCTTCGGTCCTCTGCTGCTGCAGAAGGGATGCTCCAACTTGTGTTTGCGTTTGAAAATGGGGTTCCTCATTTTTAATTACAGTCACAGATGTCAACGGGAAGGAAATCAAAAAGCGTGTGAGCAGAGAATGAAAGGGAGCTTACTGAACTGTGGAGATTGAAGAGAGAAGGATACAAAGGCCAAAAAGTGCTGCTGTCCTTGCAGATAAGGATATGGGATAGCTGCATTTGAATGTTTGGGTTACGCAGAATTCTACAGCTGGGTTGGCTGGGTTGAGAAGGAAGGCAAGGAGTGGTGTACATCCATATGAGCAGTGGGATCCAACTTGGCTCTGGTTTTGTCTTACTGTTTGTGAACTCAAATATATGTATTTTGGACTTCCCCCCCCCGTCTTTAACATTACTTGAACTGGCAGAAAAGAGCAAATGAGATAATGGGTCTACCATTTTTTCTAATCCTTTCATGAAACCGTGAATGCAGGTGGTATGGATGTGTACACAAACTGACATACTGGGCCTTCTGGAGGTGTTTCCGTGGTTGACTGTCCTACTGTAAATAAGGACTTTCTTTAGCCACTGAAAATATAAACAGGGCTGTAAGTGTCCTCCCTCTGTGCACCCTGGATATACAGACACTGGCTGTACCTAATGTGGACATGATTACTGACTTAATCAGGATACGTATATACGTAAAAGCAAATACATATATTTATGCGTGAGATCTGTCTATCTCAGAGTGTGTGTACTGCAGAAACTTTGTACAATGATTTTGATGCAGTGCTGTTGAAGCACATTGGGTTTTTAGTACTTCCCTGTACTTCACTTGTGCAGCTGAGAAATTAGTTACAAATATGTAAATTCAGAAGTCTTTCAAATCTATCTCTTGCTGTAACAATCTACAGTATAGACCATATATTTGTAAGTTTATAACCATCTTCAGAATCACTTGAATTTTTATGGTGCTATCGATAATTGAAAACTCTGCTTATACCTGTATGGATGCATACATTCAAGCCAGTATTCATAGAAATATAGAATGGTTTGGGTTGGAAGGGACCTTAAAAGATCATCCTGTTCCAACCCTCCTACCTGCACCTGTTTTTTTTAACTCATAATTGTGTGTTACTGCTTTTACAGTTTGCTTAATCTGATAAAACCTCACCAGTAAAAAGAAGAGAAATAAAAAAAAAAATGACTGACAAACACATAAAAAGCCACCCAGTTATTTTTCTAAATCACATGGCACAGTGTATTTGCTACAGAAACTGTGACTGTGTCTGGACTATATGTTTATTTCCTTTAGCCTTACTAAAAGACTACAGTGCAATTAAATGGAGGTCACAGGAAGGTGTCCTAGGGTCAGAGCCTTGTTTCACTCCTGTGAAGCTTAAAAGACAAGTTAGTTTATATCAAGATTATATTGGGTAAAACAAGCCTGATACTGTTCAGAGTTAACTCAGTATAGATATCTCTTTGTCTCGTGAAATCAAGTTAGTTTATTTTGGCTTTCATGAAGATGCCATTACGGTGAAGTAGTTATCACAGTTGTTTATGCTGGTAAATAATTGCAGTAAAGAAGTACCTTGTTGCATTATCCTCAGCAGCAATGAGACTGATAAATCACCCAGGCTCAGAGTCTCATAAATATAGTTTCATTAAAAATAGATAATTCAGACAGAATATATAATATTGAATTTAAATAAGATTGAGGGTTTTAAATTTTAACTTTATAAAATTATTTATTCTATTTTAAGCCTTCGGTCTTATTTTACCATCCAAGTATTTTTCTTTCAGTGGTCCAGCTTTATTTACGGGCATATAAAATGAAATTGTAAGATGTTTTTACAAGCTTCTTCCTTTTACATTGAGTAGCTTTTGTTTGTTTTTGTTCTGTATGGATAAAAAGCATTACTTATGCTTTTGTGCAATAGGTTTGAAACACGCATTTATTAGGCATATGTTAAATTGTAAATGTAGCATCTACGTATCATTAAATTTAAAAGGAATGTAGATGGCTTTTCTGAGTTGTTCGAATGGGGTCTTTTATTTGGAACTATGATTTGGGGGATTGTTTCTTGATTTGTTTTTTTCTTTTTTTTTCTTTTTTTTTTTTTTTTTTTTTTTTTTTAATTTTCAGAGTGAAGTGTGGGGTTTAAATTTGTGTAAGTACAAGAACTGTCTGTCAGCAATATTTTAAAATAAATGATCTTGCAAGAAACCTTAATGTGAATTGTGGAAGCAATCAGCAAGACTTGCAGCCTATCTGAAGACGCTTTGTGCCATTGTTATGTCTGGTATATTTGTGTACCATCAAACCTAGGAATATTTGTTTTTATTGGTTGTGCAATAGTATACACAACACTCACCTCTGGGGATATTGGACCATAAGAAATATCAGACCACAACTATAATGGTGCTATTTTTTTTTTTTTCCAATAGGCTATGAGCCTTTAAAAGCTTATCTGGCTCTTATTGTCTTTATAACATAGTCGTAGGAGATTGATTGAGTTTTTTTTTCTACTGGATGATTAATAGAACTGTACAAACTAGCCTGTTTTACAGCATTCAGCATCTTACCATTGAGCTAAAGATAATAGGAAAAAGCCAACCAGTCTGTACATCAGCAAGATAAGTCTTACTAAGTAGTTAAAATATATTTTGTACAGAAGCCTTGACTGTAGAGAAATCAAGTTTCTGTATTTCCTCAGGTAATCAGTTTGGATGTTTCAATGGAAATGTTGATGCCACCTACACTTCAGTTGGTCTGCCTAAAGTTGGTAACAGGGCAAAAGATTGTCCCATACCCTAGAATCATACACTAAGATATAATTCACTGTAACTAAGATCTTGAGATCTGTTAAAGTAAGAAGTTGCAAAGGGAACAACATTAAGGAACATGGAACAGAGCTTTAATCTCTGCTTTCATTAAAACTTGCCATTGATACAGACGCTTTCTAGGAACTTCTGTCTTGTTGCAAGTCAGCAGTAATGTTTTACTGTGGAATTACAGTTTCATCTGTAGACAGATTAAAGCTCTGGTCCCGCTATTTGATCCGTGTTTGATCATCCTTAGGGCTTCTTGGATATCTTCTGAAGCCACAATGACCTGAGAAGACCCTAGTGGTAGGATAGGAACTAAATCATAGAATCAACCAGGTTGGAAAAGACCTTTAAAATCGTCTATGAAAACTTACATTGGCAACTTTATGAATAACTTCAACAGTTCCGTAGAAAGCAGTGGGGTTATTTGTGCGAATGGTTAGGCTGAAGGAAGGATTTTTGAGTACTGATGTTCCACCTTTTTTTTTTTTTTTTTTTTTTTCCTTTTGATTTGAAACTAAAAGCATTGGTTTAATGTAATCTCTCATTCAAGTGATTTACCTGGACAAAAGGAGAGTTTGTTCTTTCCTCCTGCAACAAGATTTTATGGTTAAGGGACAATAAGCCAGTGCAACCACTAAGCCTTTATCCTCATATGTGGCATAATAAAGATTCTGGAACTGTCACAGTGTAAAACCATATTTTTGGCTTAGCTTCATTTGAAAGTTTACAATTTTTTATGCTTTGTGTTGCTGTGTAATTTTTGTACTATTGGTGGCTAGTTTTGTCTGAATAGCCGTTGGGGATTATTGCTTAATGTTTTGATTTTATGATAGTGAAGCTTGTATCCAGTGTTTTGCCAATTAATATTATATGCTTGTTAATAAAAGCAGAGAAACTAACTGAAATACTGTCAGGCTGAAAGTTATTGTCCGATTTTTCCCCAAGAACATCAGGAATTAACCAT